GTAATTTTACGAAGCTACGAGAATACTTTTTGTACGCAAAGAAAACAAAAATAACGACTTCATTCGACTTTATTCAACAATTCGTCTCCTCCGCGTCACCCTGGTGCCATTTTGGAGAATATCCACTGAACGCAAACAGCGTATGCTATTCTGAGTCAGCTGCGACACACGAAGATGAACGGAGGTCTTACGGGTTTGAAACGACATGAGGGTGAGTAATTAATGACAGAATTTTCATTTTTGGGTGAACTAACCCTTTAATACTGTCAGTCAAAATGTCCCAGTCCAAAGACCAGAGATGCATTACGTCTGTGTGTTTGACCTCTGACATTACTCTACATTTTGTGAATTAGGATCTGAAACTTTAACAGCTTGTAAACCTCTGATTGATGATAAAAGTGTGATGTCAGTCTATCCGACCACAGAAATCACCAGATTGCTTTGTTTTGGGTTTTACCTGTTGAGGAAAGACTTGTTTTGCTCAGATGAAAAAGCGGGTGCAGTTTGGTTTTCAGTCATGAGTGTCTGTCGCATTGCCTGGTGCCCCTACCTTTTTTTCCCTTAACCGCCGAGTCTCTATATACTGACTCGCCTAACACTGCTACTTATTATTTGAATATCTGACTTCATTTTTGGTGTTTTTTCCATTTAAACTGACAGTTCACCCCAAATTAATTTTATGTCATTTTAGACTCACCCTCGTGTTGTCCTATACCTGTATGCTGTTATTTATTTCATGGAACATGGATGTAGAAATAATCTTTAAACTGTTCCTTTATAATGTCTGATCTGTCAACCTCAAAAAAGGTCAAAACTAGAGATGCACCGATTGCAATTTTCTTGGCCGATTCCGATTTGCAATTTTTTTGTAAGTGTGACCTGCAGATAACGATTTTTGCCAAATTCCGACCTTCTTTCTTTCGAACTTTTTTGCATTTTCAATGATTTACATAATAAAATAAATGATTAAACATTACAATTCCCCCAATCTGGACTAAGTTACAGATGTTCTCTCACTTAAACAACTCTCAAAATAAAGTGCCCTGTGACTGGAAAGAGGCAGAAATTAGTTGCTCTATATAACAACAGATGTCATTTCCCACTATGTTTATAAATGGTCTTTTTTTCCTCTAACCTTATTAAATGTGTCATCTTTCACGTCAAATTCTTACATTTTCAATTAATTCAGTTAGAATAATAAGAAACTGTATGGTTGTTACCATTCAAATGAAATCAGTATCAACAAACTCCATCTTTTCACTGCAGGAAACACAGAAGCTGCATCTGAAGTGGCATTAGATGTATTTACACAGACTGTTTGATGAAGCTGAGGTGCCATAAATGCATTTACACTGCAAAATTGCAAATGCATAATTTTATAAGATTAATATTTTAAAAAAAATTTTTTGAACATACAAATAAGAAATGTTGGGAAAAATGCAATGATACTTTTAAATATGAAACCAAACCACCCGTAGGTGGCAGCAAATGACTGTTTTAATAAGTGAGTAATTTAGTCATTTGAGTCATTCAACCGATTCATTCAAATGGCTGATTCATTCGGAAATGAGGTGAGTGGCTGTCTTTATGAATGGGTCACTGAATCATTGACTCAATCGATTCGTTCAAAAACGGGGATTCATTCAGTAACAAAACGGAGCTGTGTGTTGCTGGGAAACACACACAACAGCTTTGCTGTGATTGGAACTATTTTCATGGGCGAAAGTAAGCAAAAACAGTCAATATTATGTCTAAAATGTAAGTCACTTAATTTTAACTTACAGTGTCACCTTGCAATCGTGTTGATATTCGGGGAAACATCTTGGTCGTGTAATGTTGCTTACATACAGTATATTATACAGGGCCCCACTCGTCACACAAACCTTTTACAATCATATTGTAAATACAATTGTAGGCTTAGTGCTAATTCAATTTTTGTTGTTGTAATGTAATTACTCTTTCATTTGAATAATTTAATGTATATCTTTCTTTTTGTCACACTAGCATATTCCTTTGCTGTCAGCCAGTTTAACAGTCTTACCTGTACCTGTCTGATTTGGCTGATGCTCAGTGGGCTCTCCCTCACTCTCTGAGCCTGCTTCTGCCTCATCTTCAATGAAAGTATAAGCATTATACATTTAATTTAATATTATACAGCATAAATCTATATTATAGCTTACACATAAACATCTCATTTAGAACATCTATATGACTTTTTAAACTATTTATAGGCCTACTATTAATATGGTTTTAATAAAATGTTATAAATATGTGTTATATAGATTACTAGTATCAACTAAGACAAATGATTATAATGGGAAATATACTTAATTACAAGAATTAAAGTGTGACAAACTGCTAAATATTCTATATGATGATTTACCTGCTGGCTTGCTGGAGCTTTGAATCCATGTTTGCAATGTTGAACTGTCTTTAGCAGCCTCCCTTCACTCTTTCTCTCTCCGTCTTCTTTTTTGTGAAGGCTTTTTTTTTTTGTCTTCAAAGTATGCCAACTACAGCAAATTTGGTGTTATTTATATTCTATTCGGGTACAATAATTTGATTAGACAATCTAATTCTAAGAACGTGGATATTTTGTACAAGTTGTTAGCACTTTTAGAAGACCGAGAGCAAATCATTACCGACAGAAATACAAAAACTTACTACCAAATTACTAATTCAGCGGATCAACCACTGACTGTAATGTGGATTGTAATGCATCTACCTGTTAATGCAACTACCTTTAGGAACTGTCGTCTCAACTCTCCAGAGAGTGGGCACACAGATTGTGAGTGATGCTGCGGAGCGGGCGGATTATCAGAATCAGTGGATCTTTAGCGGAACAGTAACAGAACGCTTTGAGCTGGGGTGATGGTGGGGTGATGGGTTGGTGAGAGGGGCACCTCAGCCGATGAGAGCAGAGGGGCAGTGGCTCTAGCCACCGGGCCACCCCCCTGTGCACGGCCCTGATATCATATATTAGAAATATAATTTTTTTTCTACCGCAGAATGCATCTATACCTTTCTGTGTGTGCTGTGGCGCTCATTTGTTTTGATTTCTGCACGAGTCTGTCTCTCACACTCAGACATATTGTCTGAGTAGCGTAGCTGTGACGACAAAATGAATCGGCAGACTGACCGGCCAATCATGCGGAAAATAGGCTAATTCCGGTCCCTAGCCTATTGACCTCTAGTCAAAACACCAAAAAAAGGCACCATAAAACAAATATTTTATCTTAATAAAAAAGTAGGGTGTAAGCCTTCAGAAGTCATGTGAGAAAGAACTAAATTTGAATTGTCATTGATAATCGTCTTCAAAAATGTGTAATTTTGTATTCAATGAAAAAAAAAACAGCATACAGATTAGAGTGACATGATGGTGAGCAAATGGTAACTATTTATTCACCTACCAATGTTTGCAATCGGTATTATTTTTTTATTTATTATAGGATTTATTCATACTTTGAATTAGTTTTACTTTTATATTTTCATTTTTTCATTTTTTTATATTTTAATTTGAGTTTTAGCAATTTTATGTGTGCTTTTAATTTTTTCTTTCTTTTTTTTTTTTTATATATTTCCACATAGCGTTAATTTATTTGTATTTCAGTTTTGGTCATTTTCAGCACTTAAACTTTTTCAGTTAGTTGCTAAGGTAGCCTTTTTTTTTAATCTAATTTTTTATATTTTATTTCATTTCAGCTTTATTTCAGTTACCAAAAGCAATTTTTGTTAGTTTGTTTTAATTAACAAAAAATGGTTGTAATGAGTAAGTGCCAGTCCTGCACAAATCAAGTGACTTCAAGTCGTATGTGTATTTTGTTTATTTTCTTAAAGGCCGCTAAAAATCCAGCATAAATTGAAAGCAAGGAGATTAAGCATGTGGGAATAATAAACATTAACAGACATAGCTAGTCAATAGGAGACAGTGATGACTGCTATCAGTACTGGGGTGAGATTAGCAACCTCTGTGAGGAAAGCACCTTGTTCTGCCCCCCTGGGCGGCATTCAGAAGACACGTGTGTGACAACCAATTCAGAAAATAAAAATGTAGCCTGGGGCAGCAGGCTCATTTCTACTGGCGTAATGCTAATAAGCTTTGGTGACATTTTCTGCTCCGCTATTATCTCTGCTTAATTAGCCTATTTTGCCAGATTACGCCGTACATCTAATGTTTCCAGTAATAGATACTAAATGCAAGGCCTTTTTTCAAAATGTTATGGATAATGATGCATGTAGTTTGTTTCAAGTACATTTCTGTTGTGTTTGGAGATAACTTTGCGTTAAGACTTTGAACTCATGCAATATGAGTTGAAAATAAGAAATTACATTTTTTTTTTAAATTTCATTTTTTTTTTATGAAACACACCCAAGATGCAAGATTAACAAATGTTGTTCTGCTTGTAATGTTCCTGGTTTTCAAGTGAATTTGCTAATGAAAGGGCCTCATGAAAAGGAGATGTGCTGTAGAACATCAGCCAATATGTTGGGAGCTAAAATCATTTTATTTTATTTTATTTTATTTAATACGAATATTAGCAGAGTTACAGCTTGCCAGTAAAGCATTAGTATATACACTTACGAGTACAGCTGTATATCTGACTAAGTGTTTTCCTTTTCATTTTTATTTTTTTTCTCCAGATTCCTCCAAGAAGCTTAAAGATGTCCTGGAAGAGTTTCATGGAAATGGTGTCCTCTCCAAGTACAACCCTGAACAGGTATGTAATGGCAGGAGCTGCCGTGATCTCGCCGGATTAAATGATCTGTTTAGAGGCAGTGGAGCCTCTGGCTGTGACTTGACAGAACACCAATACAACCTGACTCAGGCCGCAAGTCATTACAGGAAATGCTTAGTCATCCGCTCCCTGAAACGAAGTGGCCAGATATCGCCTGCTATTGGAGAAAGTCCTCACTGACATCATAAAACCCATGCATCACGTTGCCGTGACAACAAAGCCAGCAGGCAGCTGCATCTATAATTTGCTTTATGGAGTGTCACCATTATATTTCTCTCCTCTCCTCCGCACTGACATAAATAAGAGGCTGCTCAGGGTTTGGCGCCACAGGTTGTTACCCAGAGCCATGGCTGAATCAATAGTGAATAAGCACCGGTGGCAATTAATGGTTCTGAAGCTGACGCCAGGTTGGCTGTGGTGTGACATTGCATGCTTCGCATTGTTCATCAGTTCAGTTGCGACCACCTTTAACTCATAAAGTCTGGGAGTATCACAAAATGGAGGTGACATTCCGTGAGTGCCACTGTGCTGCCTACTTCCGATGACAGCCCTGTATTTCACTCATGGATACAGCTGTGATTGACTGTCTGAATGAGGTCGGGCTGTAAATATCCTTCATCGCAGTCTCAACAAATCACGGCTATTTTGAGTGCCTTTTCATAATGAAGTTTAATTATGGTGACTCTGTAACCTTTTTCAAATCAAGAGTGTCTGTAAAAATGGGCGCCAGTGAAAGGTTAAAGAAACGGCTCATTGTTTCCTGCATTATTTGATAGTGGGGCCAACTTCTGTGTTTTTGCACATTTGAAAGCCAGACAGGAAGTTTCTCTTACAGCCACGGCTGGTTGTGCTGCTTTTCACACCAGCAAAACATATAAACGCATTTGCTAATAGTGAGACAAAGAGAGTCATTTGGGTGCAGTTACTTTCACCTTCCTGTTTTTGGTGTGCATCTGCCCACCGTTTGCAGTCCCTCAAGCATAGCCTACCTTTGCATGCAAGTTCCTCGGTTTTCACCCCCATTTCCTTCTCTCCTACATGTCTTGCCTGTTTTTGCCTTACTGGCTTTTTGCCTGTTTCCAGTTTCATTTCAGCAACAAGAGGGATCCAAAGGATTTAGGTTCGTTCATTCCTGCAATCGTATGATTGAAGGGGAATTCATCCACAATGCCATGAAAATTGTCTTCAGCTTTGTGGGTGCTTTTGTGCCCGTGTATTGAATCATGTGCCTAAACCATCATACTTAGTTAATTCTCTTCAAGGGCTTTTGGCTTTATATTTTTAATTTTGTTTTCATTCCTGTTTTATTTTCAGGTTGTCTCTGCAATTTTTGTTTTCGTTTTATCTTCACTCTGTCATTGTTAGTTTTAGTTTAGTTTAGTTTTTCTTTTATTATTTAATTTAGTTTAATGTTTTCAGCACAGCCTTGTGTTTTTGCTGTCTGGTGGCATTTTCGTGTTTAATGGCGGTGGGTTGTAGAGATTACAAGTTTTATATTATAGCATGTATCAAAATTATTATTATTATAACTTTTTTTAAATTTAGTTTTGGTGCAATAACATTTTGTGTACATTACATTACTGTTCTTAATCAAATAAATGCAGCCTCGGTGAGCATAAGAAACTTGAAAAATGTTACTTTAAAACAATAAAAATCTTACCAACTGTATTTTTGTTTAGTTTCTTTTTTCTCCAGCTATGCTAATTTTTATTTCAGTTAACAAGACTGTTTTTGTTTAGTTTTCATCAACAGTAATAAAGCTGTTCCCCTTTTTTATTCCTTTATTGCACACTTTTTAACTTTTTTTTTACTGAGAGAAAATTACCACCTTAAAGAACTAAATCCGGATTATGCAAATAAACCAATGGATTCTCTTGCCACTAAACCTGCAAAACAGCATTAAGTATGATGCAGATGGACTAACGCAATACAGCATTAAAGATGGAATAATGTCTATTCATTCAGAGGATATGAAAGGTAACACCATTCACTGATCCCTTCCCTCTGCACGAACAGCCACTGCAGTGTATATAACCCGTCTTTCCCTCTACCCTCTTCATATATCTCTGACTGCCACACAGAAGCAAGATGTTCTCAACCAAGTAAGCTGTTACCTTCTGGGTTTGCATGTTCTGTGGTTCAATGTGTCTGCAGACTGCATGCCCCGGCCCATTCCTCTCTAACAGGATAGTCTTGCTATAATGTCTACTGAAGGTCAAAGGTCGCACCCAGTGCTTTTTAATGTGAGCCATGTGTCTGTGCTACTTTAAATTGTATTAACGGCCTCTTCATCGTGGTGTTTTTGTAACCTCAGATGATTTTGTTTCTATGAGCAGCAAAAAAAATGTGCAAATTTCTGTGTTTTTACTATACTTTAATGTGTGTCAGTGAGCTCCCTCTGTATTTTTGTTGCCATGTGTCAAAATGAAATGCTTGAGTGTGTCATTCATGCCCAATGACAGGAACATCCTCTCTCCTGAAAACATAGGAGCAGGAAGCTGCATATTCATGGCTTTATTTAGTCTCTCAGGCTTCCCAGTCTTCCCATTTCTCATCATCTCTCCACTTGTCTCCTGCAGCCTATCGATTATGAGGGCTTCCAGCTGTTCATGACGACCTATCTGGAGAATGACATCCCTGAGGAACTTTGCAAACACCTCTTCACCTCCTTCAAGAGCAAGAATGGTGGAGGCAGTTCCCCTGACGCTTCTCGATCTGGAGCAGGCATGCTAGGTAAATAGTCAATAGTTTTCAATAACGGATCGTATAATCTGGATTTCATATTTATTTGAACAGTTTTAATAGGAGAAACAGGTGTCAGTTTCTTCTGAGGTTACTGTTATGGGACCTGTGGATGAGCAACTGCAGTGAAACATGCTTACAGTTGGGTCCAGATTCAAATCCATTTTAAACCTGGAAGTAAGCTTTAAGCTTTAAGATTTTGATAAATGACATAAAATAAGAAATATTTACAATTCCGCACAATTTCTAAGTCACTAATCAGACTTTTGGAGTTCAGCTAGGTCACTGCTGCCTTTAATCCAAAAGGGGTACAAACCAAATAAAAAGAAATTATTCAGGAAATAGTTTTTTCAATTCACTCAACATGTTATACTGATGGAAACATGTACGCTACCGTTCAAATGTTGAGGTTGGTCAAATCTGTGTAATAGATAACTTACCGTTCAGAAGTATTTCTTCTTATGCTCACCAAGCCTGCATTTATTTGATGAAGAAAAAAAAACAGTAAAAACAGTAATATTATGAAAAATTATAATTTAAAATAACTGTTTTAGATTTGAATATATTTTATGTAAATATAATTTATTTATGTGATGGAAAAGCTGAATTTTCCGCAATCATTACTTCAGTCTTTAGTGTCACAGGATCCTTCAGAAATCATTTTAATATGCTGATTTGGTGCTCAAGACAGATTTCTTATTATCAATAATTTTGGAAACAGTTGTATACTACATAAAAAATAAAGTACTTTCACCTTTGGTCTCAGATCCCACTTTATCTTTTCATTTGAATTAGATTAAACTGCATAACCAGTTTTCTTGTAAACTTGTTTGTAACAAACCCTCCGTCTGCATGACTCAAATAATGAACTGGTAGACGTCTGGAGAACGGAGAAACCTGCTCTTTTCGGGAGACCTGCTGTCCGGTTTACATGCTCTACATGACTTTTGGGCCATTGTTCTATAAAGAGAAAACTTACACAAAGGCAAGCATGATGCAAGAGTACACTTTAATGAAAAGATGCCGGTGGCTTTGTAAAAATAAAGTAATTTCACCTTTGGTCTCAGATCCCACTTTATCTTTTCATTTGAATTAGATTAAACTGCATAACCAGTTTTCTTGTAAACTTGTTTGTAACAAACCCTCCGTCTGCATGACAAAAAATAATGAACTGGTAGACGTCTGGAGAACGGAGAAACCTGCTCTTTTCGGGAGACCTGCTGTCCGGTTTACATGCTCTACATGACTTTTGGGCCATTGTTCTATAAAGAGAAAACTTACACAAAGGCAAGCATGATGCAAGAGTACACTTTAATGAAAAGATGCCGGTGGCTTTGTGTCTGAATCACTACTATCATTGTTGACCTGAGGTGATTTAAGGCAGATATTAGTTGACTGTATAAATAGTTCGACAGCCAACAGTGCCATCTAGTGCCTTGATTTCTCTGGACTGGCAAATACAGTACAATCAGTGATTTCTGTTGCTCCATTTGTCTTTAATGCAACCAAGTCAGCGAATGTTAATGCTAAATGAGAAACTCATTGTGGTAGTGATAAATCTGCCATATTAAGCTGTCCTGCCTGGTCGCATCTTTTCCTCTGTCCTTCTTGCTTTACTCCTATTCCACTTTACTTTGACCCCTGTGTCTGCAGAGCCCAAGTCCATTGATGCAGGCATCACTATACAGACCGAAGTGGCCTGTGCACCCATAACAGGTACCACAGCAAGTGTGGTGTGATTTGATTGGACAGAGGCTTACATCACATGACTCAAATGTGTTACTTCACCCAGTGTTGTTATGTGTTGTCTTGGTGTGTCTTGGCAGCTCTTTTTATTTAGTTGTGTTGATGTCAAAGCAACCAGTGACAGATATGATTTTCATCCATTGTGTCAAGTCAACCACTGTGCAGCTGTGGTGACAATCGTGATGTACCGTCAGCTTCCTCCTTAGTATCTTGTGCAATATTAAAAATCTCTGCCATGTGTCTTTCTACCTGTCTGGTTTCCAAAACTTCCCGAAAACGGAATAGTTCAAAGTGCTGTCCCTGTGTAAACAGACAAGTAACAACAAGCAATATAAAGCCAAAAACTATCAAACTCAGTGGGTCTCATTCACTAATATTTTTGTACAAGTGTTCCTATTTATGTGTGCAGAATAGGTTCTCATGCAAAATGTTCACTGGATTCATAACAGGTGTGTACATAAATATTTTATTCTAATGTTTATGAATACATTTCATTCTGGATGAGCAAAGCAGATGACACTCAGTAAATACATTTTGTATAGAGTGTCTGTTTGAAAACTAGAGAAAAAATTTAAGTATTTTGCAAAATATATTTTTATAAATATATACTTTTACATTGTTACAAAAAACATGCTATTTTAAAGAAATGCCATTATTTTGAACTTCATAGTCATCAAAGAATCCTAAAATGTATGATGGTTTCCACAAAAATATTAACCAGTAATATCCTTTTCTGATAACGTGACACTGAAGACTGGAGGAATGGCTGCTGGAAATTCAGCTTTGCCATCACAGGAATAAATTGCAATTCATATAATTAAACTATATTTACATAGAAGTAGAACAGTAATTTTTAATTGAAATAATAATTCACAATATTTCAGTTTCATATATATATATATATCCTGTGTTATAATGTTCACGCACAGGTTTTACACAAATTAGTGTGTACGCACAGTGAATGAGGCCCTACGCTATGTTGCTTCCTGTCTCATTTCAGATTAGCACTTTCATTCTCCTCTCTATCTTCCTGTACTGCTTTTTTCATGGAAGGTATGAATGGGAAGAGTATTTTGAGTGCTATGAGCCGACATACACCAGAGAACTCTGCAGGGATCACTCAAGGCTCAGGGGCCACCACATCACCCTGCTCCTCCCGCTCCTCCTCACAACGCTCAGGCACAGGGGGCCACACACCCAGAGGCCCCCGCCGGTCGCCTGGCACGCAGCCCAATCCCCCAGCGAGCAGCAGCAGCAGCAATGCTTTGGCTCTCTCCAAGACTACCAACTCCCCGCGCCTCTCCCCAGGTCAGAGTCGGGGACAACCTTGATCTTCACCGCCCTTTTTTACACGTGTAATCCATGACCAGGGTCTTATAAAGCAATATTGGCTGATCAGAATCATGATGCTCCCACACAAATACTTTGGTGTGATATCTGGTGTCATTACTCATATATTTTACATATTATAATTAACACTCTTCCAGAGCGTAATCAATCTGAAAATCGTACATCTCTCCGGAGGAGTCCTTCTCCACAAAAAGGATCTCCGTCACCCCAAGTGGTCTTCCTTAAAGACATTGTGTGCTACTTGTCCCTGCTGGAGAGGGGAACGCCAGAGGACAAGCTTGAGTGTAAGTTGGAAATTATTCAAAAATAGTTTTCCTGAAAGCATTTTTTTTAAATCTTAGCTGTCTTTGGGAAATTTTAAGAAGGATTCACTTAAGACATTTTCAAATACTTATTTGGTCATATATTTTTTGATTATTGATATTTGGTCATATATTTTTTGAATATTGATAGTTGGTGTTAGAGCTTGTTCATGTTAAAGCAAAGACAACGTGTTTCTTTGTTATGATGATGTTATGATGAGAAGCCAGGTTTCTTCTTTAATCTCCTTCTTGTTTACATTAAGACAACATATCCTCATTAATTCCCACTTTTCCAAAGTTCCTCTAAAGAAAAAGAAAAAAAAAACGGAAAACCAACAGTATTTTAAGTAATTTTGTAAATTATGTCTCCAAACCAGTCGTGCCTAACCACAGAAAGCATAGAATTAGTCAATAGTGACTAATACTATGTGAAAAGTCACCTCATTCCTGACAGTTCATAATTAAACACAGCATATGAAATGCAGATATGGATCTTTGAGATGTTTGAATAGTCAATTTTATTTCAGTTACTGTTGCCTATGTGATGCAAAGCTGAATTTTCAGCAGCCATTACTCCAGTTATCAGTGTAGTATGATCCTTCAGAAATCATCCTAATATTTGGTGCTTAAGAAAAATCTCTTCTTCTTATCAATGCTGAATCACAGTTGTGCTGCTTAATATTATTTTTGTGGAAACCGTAATACATTTTTTAAAGATTATTTGATAAATAGAAAGTTCAAAAGAACAGCATCTGTTTGAAATAGAAATCTTTTGTAACATTATAAATGTCTTTACTGTCACTTTTGATCAATTTAATGTGTCCTTTAAGAATAAAAGAATAATTTTCTTTTTTAAAAATCTGCAAGTAGCTATAAGTTATTAGCTATTAAATCTTTTTGAGTCACAGTTAGGTCAGTTCTGTGTTTTAATTGACCTCTGACCTACACATAGTGAGAGTGACAGGAGACTTCCAGAATCTCTTCCTCTTATTTCGTAAGGGCTTATCTCTGCTCCTGGCCTTATTTACCATGGAGTTAGCATAGACAAGCTTTCTTTAGCATAGGAAGTTATTTCTGCCCAAAGCTAATCCTCACTAGCTGCCTCAGTCTGCCCTTTGATAACCCGAGCTCCAGGTGCTAGCATGGGGTCTGTACTTGACAAATATTTGCCACACTACAAAAAGATACAGTCTCTTATCTTTCACTTCTCTCACCCTAAAGTCATGTTCAGGCTCTACGACACAGATGGCAATGGTCTGCTGGACAGTTCAGTAAGTCTGAAATCTCCATTATAATGTGTTATGTTGAAACGTCCAGTTGTTTGGCTTTGTGGTTAGATACTGTAAACAACAAGGAGTTAATAATGCACAGTACACATTTAATGTGAGATTTACATAAGTTGAATACGACATACACAGTTATAGTACGTTATGTCATTGTGTTGAGTTGTTAGTCTGGTGATTTCTTAATATTATTATCATCCTTGAATGTTTCATTCATCTTAACACTATCAGACCTTGGTGATTCAGAGACCGTCTCAAAATATTATTGATATTTTTTTATGTAACTTTGAACTGATAGTTAGAGAGAGCTGTGAATATCAGGCTTCATAAAAAAAAGTGAATTTGAAAACTGTATGCTTTATAGTATATAATATCTAAAGCAATTATATCTGTCGATTTAGGAGCTCGACCGCATCATAAACCAGATGGTCCATGTAGCTGAGTACCTAGAATGGGACTCTACAGAACTACGACCAGTATGAATCACTTTAAACATTACCACCAGGCAATCCCATCATGCATTATGGAATCCATATCTTATTGTCCCTTATTTTATGTCTTATATTGTAGATTCTGAAGGAGATGATGGAGGAGATTGATTATGACCGGGATGGAACGGTCACATTAGAGGAATGGATCAGAGGAGGAATGACCACCATACCACTCCTGGTACTGCTGGGAATGGAGACGGTGAGAAGAAACGAACAGTGAGTTATAAAGAGGAAACAATACATTAAGATACAGTATCTTAATTCCTGTTCCTCTTTTACATACATTCAGAATGTACAGGAAGATGGGCAGCATGTATGGAGACTGAAGCATTTCAACAAGCCAGCATACTGTAATTACTGCCACACAATGTTGTTAGGAGTACGAAAACAGGGCCTTTGCTGCTCACGTGAGTATCTATCTATCTATCTATCTGTCTGTCTGTCTGTCTGTCTATCATCTGTGATTTTGTCTAATTATATCTGTTTTGTTCTGTCTGTTGATCTGTCTTTCTGTCGTTCTGTCTATCTGTTATCTCTCACCTTTTTGATATCTGATGTGTCTGACCTGATGGTGTGTAGTTTTCCATTTGAAATGTTTCCCTCCCATCTCTCACGCTCCATCTCTCACAGTCCTGTCTTTTGTTTGGCAGTATGCAAGTACACAGTCCATGAGCGCTGTGTGTCCAAAGACATTGCTCCTTGCATTAGCACCTACGCCAAGTCCCGCAGACACACCAATGTGAGTGCATAAACAACATACGCTTAAAAATGAACACTACTCACTGTGTTTAAACTGAATGTTTTCTCTAAAAATTTACAGTAAGGCCAGAAACTGGGATTCCCAGATTGATTTGTTAGGTACAGAGCTCATAGTTCTAATAAACACAATCTTCTATTATTAGTAAATGACTCGTGTTTAACCTCAAAGTAATGTTCTGTGGACATGTCAGAAAGGATATGAGAACATCCTGTGTGTAATATCTTTTTTTCTGTACTGAGAACTAGAGGGGAAAGACTGAGATCACACAGCACTGTTTTAGTAGTCACTGACTTCTCGTTAGACCTTGAGCTCCCCATACAGTAACTACCGCAGAGATGGAAGGCACTGCGTTCAAAAAATGTTGTCATTAGATTATGATTTCACAGAGTGTATTGTGTGATGTGTTAAGTGATGTGGAGTGTAATTTTAGTGTAAAAAGCTATAAAATGTCAATGAACAGTGGAAATATCAGTTCTCACGCTTAAGGTGTTTATTAAGACTTGGGGCTTGTGTAAAAATATTATACACTGTCAAATTCAAAGTAATGTGCTGTAAGTTTCTTCATTAGTCTTACCTTCATCTCACATACTATATATTAGTATACATTTTAGTGACTTTTTAACATTAGTTGTTAGACTAAAGGGAAATGCAATTTGCTAGACCCTTGCAGTTCTTCCTAAAGGATCATTTTGAACGCTTTGACCAACAAAAAAAATCACTGAATGTGTATCATAACATATGGGTGCATTTCTTTTAGTACATTCCAACAGATTATTATTATTTCTTTACTATTATCCTGTTTATTCAAGGAAATGCATTTTTTTAAAGAATTCTTTTTAACTTCCTCACTTGAGGTTTTGGCTTGTGAGGTGATTGTTTTAGTCAATAAAGTGAAATAATATTGCAGATAGTGATAGAATTCTTGTACAAATGCCTTATAAATGCATGACAGAGCAGGATAATAATTTCAGTAATGTATAGATGGGCTGTTTGAGTATTTCCCAACTAAAATAAATAATGAGTCTCTGTTCAATGTGTCTCTAGGCTATGCAGCACGTTTGGATGGAGGGCAACTCCCCAACAAAATGTGACAAATGTCACCGCAGTATCAAGTGCTATCAAGGCCTAACAGGCCTTCACTGTGTTTGGTGTCAAATCACTGTGAGTATATACTGACTTACTGTGGCCAGCAAGAGTCCAAAACTTTTGTGTTAGCTTTAGTAATATTGTATTTTTAGTCATATTTAATATTTAGTAATATTCATTCACATTTTTTTTAAAGAGACCTTGAGCAAAGACTAATGGGAATGTATTTTGTTATGTTTTTCCGCATAAAAAAAAAAAAACATTTTTCATTTTTATCTCAGTATAATACAGTTGTGGTCGATTTTTCTAAAAGCCATATTTATGTAATATTTATTCTCACCACTTGGTGGTGTTCTTCACTAAACTTTTACACCATTTAGTGGATGTGGCCAATTTGTTTTTAAAATAGCCCTAACACTCATTCAAAGGCTTTTTCTCTACATAATGATTTTTATTATCACATTATATGCTCCTGCACGCTCTCTGAACCATCTCTCCTCACAGTTTCAACTCTAAACCTGCAACTAATTTAATATCAAGTACAGATCCTGCTGGCCTCTTTGTCCCTAACATTTAATGTTGTTTTGCTGGATCAGATTAGTGAGGATAAAACAAGAAGTTACAAAAGATCCAGTCCATTCTTGATGTGTCTTTTTCACCACTCCTCATCTATATTTGTATGTTTTCCAGCTCCATAACAAGTGTGCGTCTAATGTGAAGCCTGAGTGTGACGGTGGACCATTAAAAGATCACACACTCTTACCGTCGTACATCTGCCCTGTTGTTCTGGTGAGTTCAGTCTCTCCCACTGCACTTTTCTGATATGCTAAAATGCAAGGATCCCAATACAATTTTTTCATGGGTGGGTCCTGGAAAAATTCTTCATGAGCGTCTTCTCTACTATGAATATATTTTTGAATACATCTATCTATCTACATACCTTTTTTATATATCTAAAATATTTTCAGATACTTTGGATATTGTGACAGTGTTATTAAAGGGATAAAAGGGAGTCTCTTGTGCACTCTCTAACGCAAAACAAAAACGAATGTTCTTACTGACTTGGAATTTGCATTAAGAAAATTAAAGGATGTTCACTGTTTTTTGTTAGATGTGCTGTCTCACCTTTGTACTGTAAACTTAATGAATTAAATTTTAAAAGTAAATGGTATTCAAGTTAAAATGTCTTTTCAATAAGTAAGACACAGTAATCAAGGAAATTCACAAACATTCAAAAGTTTGGAGTCAGTCAGATTGTTTTGTTTTTGAAAGAAGTCTCTTATGTTCGGCAAGGCTGCATTTATTGGATACGGTAAAACAAAAACAAAAGTAAAAACAGTAATATTATGCATTTTACAATGGGTCTATTGAATGCGTGATTTTGATTGGTTAAATTATTATCCAGGAAATGCAGAAATGCACAGCTGTGAAGTAGTTCCAGGTCTGTTGGCTGCATGAATTTCAAATCAATTTGCCAAATTATTTCTGGTGAATAGAAAGTTATAACAAACAGCATTAATTGTGAAATAGATTTTCAAATAGAAATAGAATTTGAAAATTTACTTGAAATAGACATTTTTCATAACATTGTAAATGTCTTCACTGTCACTTTTGGTCAGTTTAATGCATCCTTGCTATATAAATTATCAGAATAATATTCATTTTTGAAGCACACACACACACACACACACACGCACATATATATAAATGTCCTGAAGCACATAGAAAGAACTTTGACACGGACTCTATGATTGAGACTTGTGAACATTTCTAGTCTAACGACCTTGTAAAATGACCTGTAAAAATGTTAAAACATCAGTTCTTTCTAAATTACAGAGAAATACAATAAAGTGAGGTAGATTCTGAAATTACATGGGTCTTGTCATTTTTATCTCTTATGTACATCTGTCTCACTCCGTCTCTGTTTGTTGATGTTTACTGTAATGTCTGTATATCTGTAGGACCGTCATTCTGCTGTCAAAAGAGGTGAAGGAGAGTCATCCCCCAGTACCAGCCCTGAGGACACCAGCCAGTGTTTCAAGTTCACCGGTGATGGTCAGGCACTGCAGGTGAGCCCTCAGCAGACACACACTGGGCCTGCAAATCTGTGCAGCACACATGTGTGTTTATAACTTTTTCTCCCTCTCTGCCTCTAAGATCGCCCCTCTGCCTGGAACGCACCCCCTCCTTGTGCTGGTTAATCCTAAAAGTGGTGGTCGGCAGGGTGAGAGGTAAATGTCTTTGAAGCTCAAACTGTTGCATAATCATTTTTCATATTCTCCAACCTTATACTGCTGTAATGGTTCCAATGAGGAGCTTTGTCAAAACATCTGAAGTCAGTCGAATCTGCATTGACATGTTTAACAAAAGTCCCACTCTTTTTCTTGCTTACTGGCAGTGTCCTAAATACCATCAAAGCTAGCAGGAGACAGTAATGCTGTTAAAGGAGGAAGAATGTGGGTGTTGTTTCAGCTCTCACCACCCACCCAATGTCCTTCGGGAGACCGGTTTTAGGATTTTGTGCTGGAATCACCATAGCAACACAGTTTTAAATACCATTAATTGGCCGATTATCCTCCATTATTACACATGTGCTCAAACAAAGATGTGATAACTGCCCTGGCCCCAAAAAAGAAAGACAATTTTGGTGGTTCTTTGATACAAACAAAGGAACAGAGTGGTCACCGTTGAATCATACTGTACCAAGTGTATTTTTCCACTATATTCACCCTGAGCAGCGTACTGAAAACTCATTGGTCGGGCTTGACACTTGACTGCATTCTTTTGTTTTTGCATAGGGAATAAATGAATTCTTCAGTGTTGATAAGTGCTCAAATTCTCACCCCCACATAAAAGCATAGCTTGTGACGCACCTCAAACTAACTATTCCTCTCTCTCTCTCTTCCTCTCTGTGTGTCTTTGCATACTAAAGGGGCAGAGTAGCTAACACAGTTAGAAGTGAAGGACATTGCAGAGTCCTCAATAATCATTTTATTGCTTCAAGGTTATTGAGGAGCACTGCTGCAACAGTGTGCAATCTGTGTATGTGTGTGTGTGTGTGTGTGTGTGTGTGTGTGTGTACTTCTTTGATTCCTAGGTTTGTGTGGTCTTTTATTATAATGGAAGGGAATGATGGCGTTTTAAGAATATCATTGCTCCATATGTGTGTCTGTCTGTGTCTTCTCAAGGAACAGTTCAACCAAAATAGAACATTCTGTCATCATTTACTCATCATCATGTTGTTCCAACATTAAATCTGCGACTAACAATCTGTTGATTATTTATTTGATTCATTGGGGGGAAAAGGCCAAATGTTATTTTTTAGATTTTACTGAAAAAAATAGATTCAATTATTCCCATCTTCTCTTTTAAAAATGAATGGTGGTTATGCTGAATATTATTCTGATTGTTTTATGGTTTTAATGATTTAAACAAAAAAATAACTAACAAACAAACTTGATATAACAAACAAGCAAACGAAAATTCAGTTTTGAAGCAGAAGGACAGTTTGAATCTGTTAATTATGTCTTTGATTAATTGGGTGGGGAAAAGGCCAAATGTTATTTTTTAATATTTTTTTTTATTCCAAATGTGACCCAATTTCTCTTCTAAAAATGTGCAAAAGGTTTATATATATTCTAATTGTTTTATTGATTTTTGACAAAAAATATAACTAACCAATTTTATGTAGCTAACAAACAATAATTCACAGTTTTGCAGCAGAAGGACAGTTTAATGATAATTAATAATAAAAAAATACTTTCTTAACCGGGTAAGTAGAATTATTAAGAAGTAGAATTATTTTTTTTTTTTTCCTGCAAATGGGACTTACATCCAATTACATATTATGATCCCAGTGCAGAAATGGATCAGTCTGATTCATGATCAGATCATTTAGACCTTTTGTGTGAACTGCATCAATGATTCATTGAAAAGATTTGACATAAAAGAACGATTTGTTTACGATTTGTAATTGAGCATCGCACTTCTCTCATGATTTCTTTTGAAGGTGCCAAGAAGAGGTAGGATGCACGTCAAGATTTTCTATCCATAATCTAGTTATTTTTTACCTCCTTACTTTATAAGTCATTTGGGCTTGGAATGACAAGAGGGTTGGTAAATGATGGCAGAAGTTTTATTTTTGGCTGAACTATCCCTTTAAGCCTTCTATCATAATGTAAAGTTGACAGTGATTACATGTTTAAAAATGTCATTCCTCTATGTGTGTCTTTTAATGCTTTTCTGCTCTCATCTGTCTTCATCAGGGTGCTGCGGAAATTCCAGTACCTGCTTAACCCCAGACAGGTGTACAGTCTGGATCGAGGAGGACCCATGGTGGGGTAAGACTACTAAAAGCCACCATCAAATTTCGAGGGAGATATGTGTGAATAAATCGTTTTTTGAGTCATGACAGGGAATTGCTCAAAAACAGTTTGACATTCTCACTGTTGTTTTGTTCTGGCATGGCTCCCTCTCTCTCTTTTCTTTTTGCTTCTACAAACCTGCAATAAAGTGAGCCAACCTGCAATCAGCTAGTCTGAGAGAGGAACCACTAGCAAAGTGGAGATGACTTTGAGAGACCTACAAGACATTTACTATGACTCAAGCAGCCCCCTGCTGAGTAAATATATTCATTCAAGCGCTGAATGTTCTTCTGAGCCTGTCAGTCACGATGAGGCTTCCTCTTTAAGCGAGTCCATTTTACTAAAGCCTCTTCACTCATACACCCCACCTGCCTTTAACAGAAGTCCAGCTCAGGGTCGTCCAAATCAGTTTCAACCCGTAGTAAAGCAGTGGAATCTGTGAATGTCATTGTAAGAGGTTCATATTTACAAATTATTTTATGAGTGCCAAATACTTATGTTTTAAGTATTGTAGGTTTGAATTACCTTTTTTTAGGAGAAATAAATACAAATGAGACCATTATGTTAAGAAGAACAGTTTTGTTTTAGTATTATTTTGTACTATTAAAGTATTTATTAATATTTTGAAATGGCTTTAACTTTTTATATTTCTATATATATATATATATAGCTTTAATTTGTTTTTATTTCCGTTTTAGTAATTTTAGTACTTTAGAAATTTGGAAACCTATTTCAGTTGTCAAGACTACGTACATTTCTCATTTTGATTTGTTTTTCATCAATTTTTTATTTTTGATAATTTCATTTTGATTAGCGAAAACATTTTTGCGATAGTTTGTCTATACAGTGGATAAGTAGCACAACAATAGTTTTAGTTACTAATAACAACACTGATATAGAGCAATATATTTAAGATGGCATAGACTAGATCTTTTGACCTCAGAAGTACTTGATGAGAAATCATCTTAACATCTTAAACCAGCCTAAGATGGTTTGCTGATCTAAATCAGCAAACTTGCCTAAATCTAAATCGGTTTAGAGAGGTTTTGGCTGGCTTTAGGCTGCCACCAGCTGGTCACCCAGCAAAAACTAGCTTGGCTTAACCGAAAGACCAGCATAAATCAGTTTACAGTAGGCTGGGTTAAGGATTTTTTTACCAGCATGAATTTTTATGTTCATATTAAAGTTGGCAAATCTGAGCACAGTTTGAGACATCAATAACTTTTCTGGTGTCTTTTTTTTCTCAAGAGAAACATCTAAGAAGCAGAAGCTTAATTTATTCCCCATTTATCTAACAATTAAGATATTAAAGAGATCTCATTTGTGTTTTTCTTTGCTCTAAGCTCTCACTTTCATTTTAGTGCACAATTATGCAGTTGCACATACTGCAAACCCACTCAAAACACGAGTACATTCTGTTCAGCATCCTGCGGTTTCTCATTCAGGAAAAAAGGAGAGAGAGAGAAGTACAGAACAAAAGCTAAGCAGTAGTCGTTTCGCGGGAAAGCAGGCTAACCTTCTGTCCCAGATCCCCCTCCCCATCACACAATGTTCTGTAGTCACGACTGGAGCGCTGCTCATCCTGAAGAGGCCATTCACAGAGAGAGAGAGAGACTGAGGATTGTGTGATATTGCTGATTTCACTCAAGGAGAACAATATGGCCAGATATTACATTTTCTTCCGTAACCACTTAGCTCATTTATAAGCATGTAGATCAAGAACAGCCTTTTTTATGTGATATTTTTAACTTGTCCCATTAATGACTGTGCCATTGTTTGTGGTAACAGCTCTTCATTAATACAAAGAATTATTCTGAGAGAAAAAGCAGCCAAAGTTCAACTAAATAAATACACTATTGTTCAAATTTCAGGGTCAGTAAGATTTTTTTATTAAGAAAAATAGTTTAGGATAAATGAATTAGGTCAAAAGTGACGGTAAAGGCATTTATAATGTTACAAAAGATTGTCTTTGCTGTTCTTCTTTTTTCCATTTGTCAAAGAATCCTGAAATAAATTCTATGCTGCTCTTAGACTTCTGTTTTAGCTTTCTAATATTCTGGTTTACTTGTGAGATTTTGTATAGTGGTAATATTAAAATATTTTGCCCAAAAATGAAAATTCTGTCATTATTTACTCACCTTCATGTCATTCTAAACCTCTAAGACTTTATTCCCTTTGTTGAACAGAAAAGACGATATTTTGAAGAACGTTGGTAACCAAACAGTTTTGGTTACCATTGACTTCTATTGTATGGACAAACTTCTTCTCTGTTCCACAGAAGAAAGTCATAGGTTTAAATCTACATGAAGGCGAGTAAATGATGACAGAATCAATTGAGTGTGTCGTTCTGGATCTATGCATTTGCTAAATGAATAAATGTAAATATAATGTGGTGTATTATCAGTACAGCTTCACTATTAACACTGCAGATTGATTATTTGAGAGCAAACCACTTAGATTGGGTTATATTCTCATCTGATCTTTCTTCTTTTTAATCTCCTGGTCATTTCATTGTGAAACTGCCGAACTGATGATTGACACTAAGGGGTCTGAGTGGATATCATAAGATGGAGAGATGAAAATAGACAAGTGTGCTCTTTTGCTAAGTGTCTGCTCTGAAGAGGCCACTCTTACAGCTTTATATGGAGAAACACACAGATTGCTCAAGTATCTGTTGTCTGTTGCCCATGTCATTGGAGGAGGAATTGTTTACGCAACCCGCATCTCTACAACAGCAGCCTACGTTGCCGTTTCAAACAGACTGGGACTGGCGCATTACAAATTTATCTGGAGCAGAGCTCATTTAGTCAGACTGAAACATGATTCCAGCTCAAGCCTGTCCAGAACCACACAGCCATGTTCCACTTGTGTTACTCAGCTATTGAACTTCAGTGGACATCCATGGCGAGGATGTTGTTGTTGTTGACATAGTTTGAGCATTTCCATGGCAATACAGCAATAAACCTGAGAAGGTACAACAAACTGAGAACTGCTTGAATTGACTGCATTTTCATGGTAAATGTAGTGGCACATTTATTATTCTCTTTCACTCTTGTCCTTCATACATAAAACATGCTGCATTGTCAGAGCCATCAAAAGAAGTTACACAGTATAAATTTTTCACACACTTGTGTGTCAGCTCTGCTTGCGTGCTACGCTCAGTGCTATAACAAATCCCACATGTGTCTATATGCAGGACATGTCCCGAAGTCACCCCTGTGCTGCAGTACATGCAGTAGAGGGTGATGTCTTCTTCAGCCTCTGTCCTGCTTCACTGTACTTACCTCTGAAAGCAGGGCTGTACGTTAACTTTTTTTTCACATAGCACTGGTGCTACAGAGGTTGAAAGTTTTGTAGCACAAGCCAAAAAGTTGTAGCACAAGTATAAAACGTCTGTTATCATGTCTGAAAACAAACACAAGTAATGGAGTTCATCACTTAAACAGGCACTGATGTTCCATACAGAGCACAAAAAATACAAAAAATTGTTTTTAGACAAAGTTTTCTTAATTTGCCAAAAATGGAAGAGTGCAGAAACATAACACCTCTTACACCTTAACAAAATATAAAATAAAAAACAATGGCAGACATTTAGGCAAAGTGAGCAAAGATAAAAATCTTTGTCATTATTTTAT